GGCCTCCAACCTAAGAGCGATGGCCTCCAGCCCAAGAGCGATGGCCTCCAACCTGAGAGCGATGGTCTCCAACCTATAAGAGCGATAGCCTGCAACCTACTAGCGATGGCCTCCAACCCAAAAGCGAGGGTCCAATCTAAGAGCGACGGCCTCCAACCTAAGAGCGACGGCTTTCCATCGCTCTCCAACCTAAGAGCGATGGCCTCCAACCTACTAGCGATGGCCTCCAACCTAAGAGCGATGGCCTCCGACCTACTAGCGATGGCCTCCAACCCAAAAGCGAAGTTCCCCAACCTAATAGCAATGGCCTCCAACTTACTAGCGATGATCTTCAACCAAGGGAGGCAGCTAGATGACTCCCGCTTGGAGGAAGTTAACCTGGCACCTGCAAGGGTTCCAATGCCGAACCCACTAGCGCATCCCCAAGTCCACTGATCAAAAGATGATGTGCATGGCCTGCCCGGCGAATGAGAGCACGAAACCGGTGGTAGCACGCACCATGACTGGAACATAGCACCAAAACCGGATGACTCGGGGGCAGTTACTGGAATACTACCATACGCTGCCGGACCTCCATGTTTTGCACCGCGACATGAGGGTCCAGGTAGGGATGTCTAATGATCATGTATGGACTGAGGATCTCCTCAACGTCGGTCGCCGCTTCTTTGGACCCTTTTCCGACCGCTGATCCGTCGCCCAGGATCAGTTGCGACGGCACGCCTGAGGCCGAAAACAATTGATAGTGAATGGACCGGGTCAGCACAGCCCAATCACTGATTCAAGTTCTCAGAGGGTTTTTGTTGGATGTTTGGTAGATGTGTTGATACGTGTTGTATAGGTACATGTCAGTACATGTTTTTGTCTCAGGTGTCCATAGGTGTCCTGAGCTTCACAAGTGATGCATTATAGGGAGATAGCCTTCCAGAGTTGTTGGGCCCACGTCAGGTGTCAAATCCCAATACACTCTGACCCACGTATCGCATGGGCATCGGCCCCAGGAAGACCTGGTCTTGCTCTACGAACAGGGGGGATTTCCACGGCTATGTTACATGTTAGTGAGTGGGAGAATATGTGGTATTGTTGATGTTTCTTTCTCACTTGTCGATCTGCTTATTTGCATGTGAGAAACTCATCAAAAAGCTTGCTTCCAAGCTCAGAACAGAGCTTTCACGGTGTTCACCTCCACACGGGTCTTCAGACTCTCCGAGTCTTAGCTTCATGGGCACGGTCTGCTTCACAAGATCCGATGACGAGGTATACCACTGGCAAGATCCTATGCTGTCATAGAGGGCTGTCCAGATACCCTGACCACCTGTTGTCCTTGCTGCATGGACTTACTCGGCAAAGAACGCCGGTGTTGCCCCATGGACAAGTGTCCAGTGTTGTCTGCCCCATGCTTCATGAATTGATTGGATGTGTATTGAAGCAGCTTGTGATATTCCCTCACGGTTAGCTCTAGCATTCACGGACCATCCATGTATGGAATATATGCGCATACATTGACCTCTAAAATCACCCCAATGTAGGTAAATAGGCCTTACTGTACATGGATGGTCTAACATGGGGTCTCATGACAGGGCAGTCACTCTTGTGGCTGCCTCAAGTTGGCTGTCATGTCAGCCGTTGAGAATCGTTAGCAGAGGTGAATAAAGAAGGTGAAATGCAGAGACAATCCATGTTTGGAGCCACAGTGCATGCAATAGGGGCATGAACTTCTGAGCCAAATCTAGTTTGAGTCTGCCAGATTATCAATTTCCATTCTTTTCTACATATATATATATATATATATGTATATAAACTGCTCTACTTCGGGTGATTCCCACCCTGAAAGGCGATTTGGAAGAAGGCAGGGCACATGTATTGACAGACTATGACTATCCTGAGAAATGCTGCCTGACATGTGCATTGACACAATGTTCTGACACTAATTCAGGCATCAAGTTTGGTATGTGTTCTGACACATCATCTGAGACATCATCGGTCATCAAGGCCGCGAACTGCTCTGGACTGTGTTCTGATGTCCTTGTTGGCATAAGTTCTGACAATTGTCCTGCTCTGAAGTCTGACATGTGCCGTAGCGTATATTTCGATCTCGGCTCTGATATGTGTTCGCAATGTTTTCCGACACTTGTTCTGACATGAAGCCTCTGACATAGCTTCTGACATGATTGGCCGTCTCTATGCTGTTGCAAAAATACCAACGTTCCATCTGGCATATCTTCTGAATTCTTCTGACATCCTTTCTGGCGTATCTTCTGACTTTCTCCTGGCAACAATTTGGCATCCTTTGCGGCAACCCATGTGGCATATCTTCCGGCAATCTTTCTGGCACTATATCTGGCACATCTTCTGAAACCATCTGAAACCCTTTCCGGCACTCTATTTGGTATGCAATCCTTCTGGCATTTGTCCTTTCTGTTTTTTGCCATACTCTGGCATTCTAATTGCATGGCATAATGGCATATCTTCAGGCATCCACTCCGTCATTATATTTGCCATATAGTCTCTCTATGGTGCACAGGTCCGTGCGTGCCCAGACTGAGCTGGCACTTGCTGTGACATGGGGAGGGCGCGTAGGAAGGAGGAAGAGACGTACGAGAAGGAGTGGCACCTGTGTTTAAATCTAAAGATTAAAGACCCTACCCCCACAGGTGGGACAGAACTTGCGCTTGAGTTCTTTTTGGGCACTTCAGGCTAAGGGAGCATTGGTTTACCAAACATTTTGACCCTGAGGCGGCATTTGTGTTTCAAGGACACTTTGTGCCTGCCAGAATCATCTTGGATTTTCCACAGAAGAGGACTGGGGCTGACGCTTGGGGCATCTTCCTATCGCTGTTGCCGAGTTACTATTTTCCACTTTCTGGTAGGGCACCCAGCTGATGGCTGAGCGGTGCGGCCAGAATGGCCGAGTGGTGTGGTACTACTGGCCACATGGCACCAAGCGAAACCAAAGCGATGTCACGGCCAAGGCGATGTCTCCCAGAAAATGGTTTTATCGTCACTCTCTAAGACCTGAAAAGGCCACCACGTTGTTAGCACGGCATACACTTTGCAATAATCATGGGGGTGAAAACCACCAGTTTGTAGAGAGAAATGGTCACCCTTTCGGGGTCATGCCATCCACTTCCATGATAAATCCAAACAATCTCTATATATATTTGTAATATAATAAGTACGGATAATATGTGCTATATGATAGACTTCTTTTGTTTCAGGGATCCTAAAAACATCATATTTGGCTGCCGCACATCCCAAGATCCGTCACAGAAAAAGAGGTATCGTTTCAGGGCCGCAAAAGGCGATTTGGTTGGGTGTTACCATCGGTTTGAATCCCAAAAAACACTGACTGGTACTGATCGTTATGAATGGTATAACATCCCAAGGAATCTATATAGAAGGCGAGGGTCATTCAACTTAATGTCCTTATTCCCTACGAGTCGCACCAGTTTGATCCCCTGGACGACTGAGTGAAATGAATATCCAAAATGCAAACGCCGGGATGTGATCGTGTTCGTTGGTGTCCGAATTCGAGAACTGTTTTTGCAGAAAGGGTGCCCTTCGTTCGACCGACGCGGATGCACCTGGATAGAGCCGCTGAAATCTGAGCAGTGGGAGGTACAGAGGAGTTTGGTACAGATCGAGTGTTCCCTCTACTTTTTTTGGGCCAGGAGCTCGAGGGTTGAAAGATTGCTGCGAAGCAGCGCCGTTTTCTACTCGACCTGGCCTGTCTTGAAATACATCTATTTCACTGTTCCCGGAGAAAAGTCTCGCAAAGTCTTCGGCGGTCTGGAAGCCCTCAGAGGTTTAGAGAGGAATACAGCCACCTCAATTGGTGGAGCATGAGGTTTTGATCAGAAGGGCCGCTTTGTCATGCTTGAAAATTGGTCGCTGGTACTACAAGTTCACGAAAGTTCCACGGAATTCGGTTCGTGCTCCATCATGTTGAATCATGTCTCCACGTTCGTGCTCCGTGCGCCAATGAATCAGTTTTGCTTTCCGAATCAGGACTTCGGAGAAGGTTTGCCCCGCTGATTCGAGTCGAGGTGCCTCTCGTCCGTCGACGGTTTGGGTCGCGCCGAGGCACACAAGGAGCTGGCAACACTGGAGGTCGCCCGTCCGGACGAGGCTCCTGGGTGCTTTAAACACAAGGTTACACAATCACCGGCTGTAGGCTTGCGTTGTCAGGTCGTAGGCCTAACTATAGTCCCAAGACCCTCACTTCACCATCAGAACCGTTGGTCTGGTCATCAGTCTGAGAATCATTCAGACTTCCAAAGTGATGAGTCCATGTGATTCCGCGGATACCAAGTCTGCATACCAATTCATTCATCTCTTCTGTAGAAGATGGTATTTCTGCCAGAAACTGACCACTTCCATATCGATTCTCCAACCACCTCCAATGTCCTCCCCCACTGCCCCCATCTTCTCTGCAACACGACCGAGACGAAGCCGAAGACGGACCACCCAACGCTGCCCTGGGCTCGGCTTCGGTCCTCCATCCGAGCGAACTTGGAAGTGGCAGAGCAAGCTGCACAGCCAGCCTTCGAGCAGCTCGTTGGCAGTGAAACTGTCGGCCAGGTTCGCCGAACTCGACACGGGTGAAAAGTACCAAAAGATACCAAACACCTATAATATATATATATACTGTATATATATATATATTTTAATTATATATACCAGCACCACCCAAAGGGTGGTTTATAGACCCCCCTGAAGATGTATTTTCCATCTAACAACCACCCTTTGGGTGGTGCTGGCATGTATAAAAGAGAAGACATGACTGGTGTGAGCTGGGGGTCCCTTGCACCGGGTTCCTGCGCATGTTCCTTGATGATCGTGGCTTTCAAATTGTTTTGGCCTGGAATTCAAGTTTGCGGGTCCAGGACCATTTGATCCTGATATACTATGGCCCAGCAAATCATCCTACTGTTGAAGTGTTCTTAATCTCAAGAACCATCCTCATGTGCAATCAGGTTCAAGAAAAGGGTTCAGTGAGGGGGCGTGGAAAGCTTACTTTTGCTTGAACATGGTGAAACCATGTCATTGTGCTTCTAAAATTGTACTTTGTGTAGTATTATTGATACAACTACAGTACATGTGTCATTCCTGGTGCATGTGTTTCTTCACGTTTCGGAATCTAGGAGCTAGAATCACATTGGACGCCCGAAGTGCGCAATACATATATATACACATACACACACATAGTTTGATATATACCATTATATACGGTAACTGTAATTCGGAATGAACACTCTTGAACAATAACCCTCCAGTTTTTGTTGAACAACCTCTTCAGGCTTGGCGGAAAGACGTGGGTCAAGCGCCCTGGGCGGTGTTTCGATGATTTTTGGAGGGCAGAGCATCCATCCGACTGGAATACGCTTCATTATGACTTACATGACACATGGCCGCCCCAGCCATGGGTTTGGGGGATAGATCTATAAATTCAGAGGGATCGAGGGAAGCTGCTAACCAGCGGTTCCAGTTCGACCCAAATCGCTGATCGTACTGCTTGCTCGTTGGGCCAGAGCCTTTTGGGTTTCTGCTTTGGTCACTGAGAATCCGAAAGAGAACCGATCCTCGCCAAGGCAGGTCACGAAAGGCCTGGAGAAGGTGCCGAAAGGGCACGGGGGGGAGAGCGGAGGCAGTCAGAGGTGAGAAGCTCGTTTGGGGTTGGCAGAAAAGAGAAGCTTTTGGGCACCTTGCTCAACTTCAAGGCTTCTCTTGAAGCAATCTCGGTTGGCATTGGGCACAATACCAGCACCTTTAAGGAGTGCCCTGTCTGGAGATCCCTAAGTAGTGGGCTGGGGCGAAACCAGCCAGGTGACCCCGACATGAAGGTCCAGGTATATACATACAATTGATACCCTAAGAATCCTTGCACCCTCTACGGCACCAGACCCGAACCAAACCCTTCTCATTTAGGGGCCCTTCTTATTTGAGGGTAGTATATATACCTGCTACCGTGGATAGATACCAATTCCAGTCCAGGATGCTAAAAATATGTTGTTTACAAGTTCTCGCAACATTTACGCCCATCTTGTGAATTCACGTCCTTTTTGAAAGCCTGAACGGTTTTTCACGTCCAAAGCCTGAGCACTATTTATATATTTGAGTGTTGTGAACTAGACCAAGTTCAGGGATTACGGTAAAACACGTCCCGGACAACAATTCCCGTCCTTGCATACCAAAAGACAACAATTAATTAGCGCATGGACAGCAAAAGGTGGTTATAAGGTTTAGCAGGCATTCTCCAAAGCAACATGCTTTCATGATATCTTCAGGGGCGAAAGGATATGTTATTGAGGTGTTACACGGTGTTACCCACTGACTAAGATGGAAGTGGAAAGGACAGGCATTTGGAAGACCATGTTTCGAATACCAAACAGGTGGTGAATTCCACTTCCATGTTAGTGAGTCTGAGGATCTACGTAGATGGCACTGGCACACCGACTTTGGGATGGGGGTCCATGTTTTCATCATTGTTCAATACTCTTCTGGGGCTGGTGCCATTGGTCCTGTCAATCCACTCCTTTGATTCGCTGGTTCCTTCCACCGTCTCCGACCTCCCGCCGTGCCGTCCGCAGGTGGAGCTCTCAATGACACGGGCGCATGAGCGTTTACAGCGTGCCAAGCAAGAGATGCACGAGGCGCGCTGTTGCTTGGGTAACCGGGATCAACCAGGATCAACAGGGTTCTTGGTTCCTTTTTGGGGCTCGGTTTTGTTGGGTTAAGACAAGTGGGTTGGTCTAGGTCTGAGTGTCCTTGAAAAAGTTGATCTAAGTCTGAGTGTCTTTCTATACCCTCAGAATCTGGGCCCTCAATTGGGAAGTGTTTAGTTTGGGTCCGGTAAGACAATTGGTCGTTTAAATGTGTGCTTTCCGTGATTCAAGTTCTTAGTTCGATGAGTGGCATGAGCAGTGCCTATCAAGACATGAATGTAACAAAAAACATCCGGCAGAAATGGTGTAATGGCTTGGATCCCAAGGCCCCCCTTTGAAACAACCAGGCAACCATCCCACTACTTGTAGAGTCGATGTCGGCATGTTTTCATGTTTTCGTTGGGCCGGGGTCCTGTTTGTTTGTTTTCGGAGGGGAGGACTCATGGCCGATGGGGATTGGGGACGGAGCGAATCTCAGGTGGAAAAGAACTTCGGCATGCAGCGGATTCAGGCGGAGCGCCAGCAGCTTCTTTTGAGCAGTACCTCGGGCGTGGCGTTGGGCGCGGGGGATGTGGATCTGGAAAATCGGTTTTGGGGGGTCTAATTTGATGAGACATGGTGAGTGGATTTCTTGACCTACGCGGATGAGAAACACCAGTTGGAACTCGATTGCATTGACTTTCTCTTTGAACATGGTTAGTCACCACCTTCAGAAGTGACGACCCCCAGGAGTGGATTCAACACGACGCTCTGCGACTTCCCCCCCAGCGAGACTAGCCGTATTCCACGTAGTACTGTTGAAAGGGGGTCAATGTAGGCATACCATTATTCCAAACATGGGTTGTTAAGGTATAAAAACTTGGTAGTGTACAGTACTTGGTATTTTATAAGGAATAATATGCTGCCTAAGAAGCGTACTTATACACCGGGTGTCCCTCTCCTGGAAAATCCTCGGAGCTAGGGGTGTATGGATTCTAGGTGGTGTACGCATTCTACATGGTTCTACACCTATCATCAAGAACTAATCATGCGGGGAAGCCCCTCTCTATATGGGAGCCGTTCGAAATCCCTTGTATAGAGTCAGACTTTAGAGAGGACATGTCATAAAGATTGATCAGTTTTTGGGCTGTTTTTACCTGGTAGGCGCAAGAAGGCGCAAGGGCGAGCGCAAGGTTTATATATATATATATTATCTATATCTAGTACTAGTACTACTACTACTGCTGCTGCTGCTGCTGCTGCTGCTGCTACGACGACTAGCACAACAACCACAACGACGACGACTACTAGTACTACAAGTACTAGTAGTTCTACTAGTACTATTAAAGTACTACTACCACTACACGTACTACTACTACTACTACTACTACTACTACTACTACTACTACCACGACTACTACTACTACTACTACTACGACTACCACTGCTACTACTACTACTACCACTACTACCACTACCAGTACTTCTACTACTACTACTACCACTACTACCACTACTACCACTACTACCACTACTACTACTACGACGACGACGACGACGACTACTACTACTACTACTTCTACGACGACGACGACGCCGACGACGACGACTACTACTACTACTAATACTAATACTAGTACTACTACTAGTACTACTACTAGTACTACTACTACTACCACTACTACTACTACTACCACCACTACTACTACTACTACGACGACTACCACTACTACTACTACTACTATTACTACTACTACTACTACTACTACTACTACGACTACCACTACTACTACTACTACCACTACTACTACCACTACTACTACTACTACCACTACTACTACTACCACCACCAAGACCACTACGATCAATATGGATTTCAGTGGGAGAAAGGATTTGGGAGAGCAAAATTGTAGAAAAAACGATAGGTTTTGATTGGTCTCCCACAAATCGCACAACTGCTACTAGCACTACTATACTACCAGCACCTGGACTAGTACGAAGTGCTACTACCACCACCAAGAGGCGCGCGCCTCGAGAGGAAAGAGGAGAGGAGAGAGGAGAGGAGAGAGGAGAGGGGAGAGAGGAGAGGAGAGAGGAGAACGAAGGACAGAGGCGCGCGCGCGCGCGCCTCCGACGGGCGCGCGCGCGCGCCTCGAGAGGAGAGAGGAGTGGAGAGGAGAGAGGAGAGGAAATGACTTCGGAGCGCAAAAAAGTAGAAAAACGATAGGCTTAAGCTGAAGGTTTGTACCACTGGGTTGCACTACTGTACCAATACTACTACTAGTTACTACTACTGCTACTACTCCCACTCCTACTACTACTACTACTACTACTGCTACTACTACTACTACTACTAGTACTAGTACTACGACTACTACCACTATGAATACTACTAGTACTTTTATGACGACTACCACTAAATACTACTATTACTACCACATCGACAACCACTACTACTAGTAGTAGTAGTACTACTACTACTACTTCTACTACTACTACTACTGCTTCTACTACTAGTACTACTATTTTTCTCATTTCCACGTCGGGCGCGCCATGTTTTCTTGCTAATACTAAAACAAATAGAACAGTCAAAACATGCAAAAACCCTCATAGGCGCAAGAAGGCGCAAGGGCGAGCGCAAGGGTTTTTCAGCCTTATGCCCTGCAACTGAATAAAGAACAACCCCCATATGAATATAATAATAGATCTAATCTCATTCCATCGTCCACGGAGCAGCTTGCACCAGTGTCAACCTTCTCGCATTGGCCTTCTGAGGCCTTCAGCAGAGAAGGAAACAAGCTCACGCGGGTGCTGAGGCGTACCTTGGAGGCGGTGCAGGATGGTGCAGGTATGGAGGGAGAGTTTGGCGGGACATTCTCTGAGAAAACATTGAAACTTCAGGTTTGCCTTGGTTTGCCAACTATTCCCACAAAGACTGGCCTGGAAAAGACCCCTGCCATTCACTTCCTTTGTGTTCCAGGGGCAAGCAGGTGCCTGAGCTGCGCCTACCAAGTGTGGTTTCACAGTGCCCTCAGCTCCGAACATAGCGATCCAGATTGGCCGGCCCTTGGGTGTGACGTAGGAGCTAAGGAGAATTGAGGAGACACCCAGACCAACATGTTCAATTACTGCCCTAAGAATCGGGGTCCGCAAACATATAGGGTTTGGTTCGGGTCCGGACCCCTGCGAAGGTGTCGGGTGCGACCCCTGTCATGGAGAGCCCGTACGGATTCTTAGGGTGGGTGAATTATTGATCTAAATCCAGACGAGGCTTGGCGAGAACAACTAAGTCACAGAAGTCAAAACCGGTGAGACTCGAGATCGTTTTTGTGTGTGTGTGTGTCAAAGTCCATGTTTTCTTTATTTCAGACATGTTCAGACACTTCATCTATAGAATAGATGTCTACATTGACCTCCTTTTCAACCACCCCAATATACCCATTATTAAGAGACATATATTTGCATATCAAAATGGAGTGTTGGCATCCAAAAGCAACCTGAGGTCCAACTCTTGTACTCTAACCACATGGGGCAGACAGGTCGAGCCTGGATCCGATCGTGTCGTGCGGTCAGAGAAAGCGTGACGTCACCGACTGGTTTTGTGGTCGTGACGATCCGGCAACATCCCAGGTGCAAAGCGTTGGAGGAGGAAGTGAGTCTTGACCAGAAGATCGGTAGTGTTTTGCCCGCGGTGAATCCACCGGCGAAGATCTTCAAGTCGAACAAGCATTCACGCTGTTGGACCGCTCTCATTTTCTCAGTCGCCACTCATGATGTTCAGACACTGGCAGGTCAAGGGGGTCTCCATCAACCTGCAAGGATGATAGGAACTCTGTGGTGACCTTTGGAGTTGGAGCAGGTTGATCTTTAAAACATTGCTTTGGAGTTGGTCGGTCTGAAGCGACGAAAGAGTCTGGGTCGAAAGATCCAAATTTGAGATTTGCAGATCGTCCATCGCTGACTCCGTCCTCACAAAGTGAGAAGTTATCTTTCCCACACACGCAGTTCCAAAACGCTTCGATATTGCACCCCCGGTTCGATGTTGCACGCACGGGAACCCGCTTCGCGTGCTCACACCCGTTTGACGAGCGCGTTTTCAAGGAATCTGGAGTCCCACGGCTGCGAAGAGAAGCAAGAGCAGCTTTCAGAGTCCACCTTCCACTGTGAGCAGTTGAAGGAACGTCTTCAGGAGCTCCTCAGAAAGCAAGTTCGTCGATGAACATGTCGACGAGGCAGTCAGAGTCAGAGGCCAGTGGAAGGGTTGGTCTCAGCAAACCCTTCAAAGCCCATCGAAAACCCTCTGTTGTGTGACAGTCCAACAGAACAAAGTAGATCTCTTTTTGAACCTCCATTACGGCAGATCCTGTTGTTTCAGCCTTTGGCCCCCCCCGGTTGTTTCAGCCGCCACGTGACCCGCCACGCGCACCATGAAACAGAGGGCCCCCCAAAGAACACTCACACCGCCGAGGTTGGAGCGACAGATCATGCGCCGCTACTGCCAAGAGGCATCCCGGTCACTCCTCCGGAGCTGGTCACCGTTCCAAGGACAGACCTAGAAACCCTGAGAATCCACTGAGATCCACTGGGGATGACATCGGTATCTTCCGTTTGAGGTGCCCAAGTCAAGAATGCTGCCATGAATGAACGAACTCCGCACGTGCCTTTGTTCCAGTCCGGGAATGATTGAAAGGATATGCATTTAAAGGATGTTCGGGCTTCAGTTTTATAGATTTGGGTGCTGCTCCAACGTTCTATCTACACCTCCAGCAACTCAATGGAACAGAGGCCTCCAATTTCTTTCGGATGACGAAATCCGAGGACCAAACAGGTGGTCGACCGGACTTCCGTAACTACTATTTCACTATTCCAGCACCACCCATTTCGGGTGGTTATTAGATGGAAAATTGATGAGATAGTCAGGGGGTCTACCAACCACCCGAAATGGGAGGTGCTGGTGATTTGCATGGAGTTAAATCTTTCAGTGCATACAAACCTCCTCGAAGAATTCTCGAGCGCCAGGTCACGCCTGAGGAGATTTTGGCCTTACGGCGTCAAGTGGCCAGGCAGTTGGAGCGCCGCTCTACGCTGGAGCGAACGCGCAAAGGTGCGCGGAGATGGGCCGAGGAGGCTCGACTTGCAGAGAGATTGGTGATCGAATGATGGACCTGATAGACGTACCTGGACCTTCATGTCGGGGTCACCTAGCTGGGCGCTTTCGCCTCAGCTCACGTATGGATAAACAGGGCACTCCGGACTCCGGTGCTACCCGTTTCGACTCCGTTTCGACCTCGGACATGCCGACATCACCGTCCATTTCCAGGGAGTGCGGTGAGTCGGAAGCCGATGTGGGGTGTCTCGGTGTCTCGAGGGAAGCCGAAAAGTCCCCACGAGGAACCACCAAGCACAGGTTTGAGGAAGAACCGAACAGTGATAACTCAGTGATAACAGAGGAAACATCTTTGGACATGAAGACACCAAACGGCTTCACTTGATAGAAGAGATCACACACACACCACGAAACCAAAACAACCATCCACAAATCAGAAATTCATTTGGTAACACAGATCTAGGTGAATCCTGATCCATCCAACTGAAGAAACATCTCCAAGCCTAGCACCGTAAACCGGGATTCTTTCCGGTGGCCTCTTCTCTTCCGAGGCAGACCAGGCCAGAAGCCGCAGCGGCTCAGAGGAACACGATGGACCCGTGAAGGCGTTGTGCTCGGAACTCATGGACCTTAGGCGTGGCCGAACGCGACCGTTCCGAACTCCCCCAACTCGCCGTTCGTTCTCGCGCAGGTGGAGGGTCTGGAGGGTTGCAGAATTTTATTCACGCTGTATGTGTGTGTGGTGCACTTCAGAGAAGGGTAGAGACGTTCAGTCCCTACAAGTACGAAACAAACACATGGGCTAGTATAATCACCCCGCGCCTTGCATTGCCCGTTAACACTACCAATGCATTGCTGGCCCAGAAAACAGGCATAGACCCCAAACAGTGTCAGCGTTATTTTTAAACGTCAACTCCTTGAATTCTAGTGTTGGTGGGAGCATATGCAATCATATGCCCATATAGTCTCCAGCTGTTTGAGAACGGCCAGTAAACAAAAAATGACAAACATTCAAAACAACAGTTCCTGATGCCTGGGTCACATGTGAAAAGTGTGAAAACAAAGTCCTGCTTCACGCACTTCTGATGGCAACCTGCACAGGCCTCCAAAACGATAACAAAGTGATAACCAACTATAACTAAACTATAACAACATATGAACTAAAATGCGAGCGCTTGGGAGGATACCCACATGACCGGTTTGAGCATATCACCTCTAGATCTTGAAGGACATTGAAAGGAAATGGTCGGAACATGAAAGGAACATGACAGGAAATGATTGCAAAATGAATTGGCCATGAGAGGAAATGAATGCAACATGAAAAGAACATGAAAGGACATGAATGCACAATTAAAGGAACATGAAAGGACATGACAGCAAAATGAAAAGACATTGAAAGGAACATGAAAAGAAACATGACATCTGTTGAATTTCGAGCAAGGATGCTTTCACATTATTAGTGCAGCTGGAAAGCTGGAAAGTTCACATTATTAGTGCAGAGAGCCCATCGCCTAAGCCATCGGTGAGAGTAAAAAAACAACAAGATGGAACCCACGAACCCGAATGGAAACACGTTCGAAAAACTACATATGTCCAAATGACACTCTTGTAGGACACTCTTGTGGGACACTCTTGTGGGACACTCTTGTAGGAAAATCTTGTGGGACACTCTTATAGGACACTGTTG